CTTTTGTTTGTATCCGAAAATCAAGAATAGAAAATAAAGAAGAAAAAGAAGAGATTTTATTTTATTTTTGGTTCATAAAGACTTTCTGTCCAATTTAGAAATTAAGCTTTATTGCAAAGGAAATAAAATAATTGCCTCAATGTTTTCCAAAATATACTCCAAGAACAAAAGACTCTTTAAGTTAAACAAGAATAAATCTTTTACCACTCAAGATTATCCCAACATTATTTTCATTAATTTCTTTATGTACTTGCTCCTGAGAATGCTACGTACGTTTGTCTTCTTCTTGAATGTTGACGATGTGTTGCTTTCATGTCGTGAATATGATTGCTCGGTAAAAAAAATTTCACCATGATCATGTCTAATTCTTTTTTTACACAAGTACTAATAACTAACAAACAAAAAAAAAACAATAATAATAAAGTAACCACACAAAAATAGTAACAAGAATAAATAATGGTTCATTCTAAAAAGAAAAAGAAAAGAATAAATATTTTTTTAAGAAAAAGTTTTAGTGAAGAATGTGTGCTATTTTAATTGGTTTGTTGTCTCGTTGTAACACTCTTCAGTTTCTTCGTCGGTATATGATCTTTCGGATTGTTCCAATAAAGAGGGAAGAAATGACAATTTTGAAATATAGTGTCTAACATATATACACGAGCTGTCAGTGAAGTGATGAATATAGATGACGCATATACAGAACAGTCCATTATAAACATGTGCTTAAACGTGTTTCAAGATTTCCATTCTTTGTTTATTTATTTATTTATTTTCTCTTATTTCAGTTATTGTTTTTCCTCTAAAGCATGCATATTGTTTATGATAAATTGATTTCCTTCAAATTATATCATCTCAATTTAAAAATTTAAATTGATGGATAAATAGGCCTCTAAAAGATTTTATATTAACTTTATAATGTATATTTTCAAATGAAAATTATTTAGATTTGAAACTATAAGGTGACATTTTCATTTAATTAGAGGAGATTTAAGGGTTATAGAATTCCAATTCTTCACTGTTTGAACATTAAAAATATAATTCTATGTCAAAAAATCATATAATCCAAAAAATTAATTAAGCTGATGAATGAGTCTTTATGAATGATTTTATATTAAATTTCCAACAAATCTATAACTATAACATTTACAAAAGAAATGAAAAGCATAACTATCATCTATTTTATATAGTAAAACTAAAGCAAAACCTATCCCATCATCTTCACAAGTTGATTGATAAATTGATAATAAGTGAGACAAAGCTATTAATCTCCTAAAATTATGCGTTATAAAATCTAGTTCTTTGCGTGTAAGCAGTTATGTAAGATAAGGAGAGAGATGAGGATGAGAATGAGAATGCGGGAATCGAAATGAAAATTAAGAAATCGGAATGACATTTGTATTTTCATACTGTGTTTGGAATACTAATGAGGAATTGAAATGCAATTTAAATTTTTTAATATTTGATTTTTTATACAAATAAAAATAAGGATTAAAAAAATAATTTTATCAAACTATAGTAGTTGTAAAAATAATAAAGGTGGTGGTGGTTATGACAATTGTGGTTCTAGTAGTGGTGGTAGTGTTTGCGGTGGTCATGGTGGAGGTGGTGGTAAAAGTAGTTAATAAACAATAAATAGATAAAATATATTATTATTTTGAAAAAAAAAACATTCTCATTCCTTGTTTTTATTCTCACATCTTATGTGGGAATGAAGTTGCGTGTAAATTTTCATTTTCATTTTCATTTTCATTTCCACTCTTCATTCACATTCCCACTTTATTCCTTTTAACCAAACAATTGCAATGTGGAAATAAAATTTTCATTATTATCCTCATCACTCTACCTTAGTCTCTTAAAATCATGCACTATTAAATCTAGTTCTTTGCACAATTATGTAAGGTAAGGAGAGAGAAAATAAAGTTAAATAAAAAAAATACTTTAAATGAAAAAATAAGTTTTATAATATGTTTATATAAATTTGTATAAAGTCAAATTATTTTTGTTTTGACCAAATAAAACATCTTATTATAAGCTTTCATTTAATATATATTACATATGTTTCTGTTGAACATAAAATAAGAAAAATATCTCTAATATCACATCAACTCGTTGAACTATATATTTTTTAATATAGAGGTTGAATTATGTTTCCTTTGCACTTTTATTACTTGTCAATTAAGTCCTTTTTAGATACAAACTTCAAATCATGTGATATAATAATTTGTAGTGATTTTTTTCCTTAAAAATCAAGCACGCTTAAGAATTTCAAATGAATATGCATTAAGTATATGGAATATCTTGTATATACAAGGATCAATCAAAATAAAACTTCTTAATATTTTACTATAAATTTTGAACAATAAAAACATATGATGAGTAACACATACATGAAGGCACTAGGTATCAATAGAATAATTTCCGAAAATTGTCCATATGACTGTAGGATTTGATATACGTGTATATGCACTTTTTGTTGGTTTTATCCTTATTAAAAAGAACATATGTTTATTCAAAAATTAATCATTTAATTCTCATTTTAGATAAGAAAAAAGGAAAAGAGCTACTGGAATGTAGGTTACTAAGCATTCAACTTACCAATCTAGCAAAAAGGTAGCATGTAGACGTTGGTACTCATTGTGTTATGATGAACGAATCTTTACAAAATAAAATAAAGATTAATAGAAAGACTTAATCAATATGAAAAAGAGTAAATAAAAAAAATTAAAAGAGTATCAGCAACAAATCTGGAAAACCCCTCTTTTTTTTCCTTCGTTTTGAAATAATGAATAAAAATTAAAAGTATGTGGATCATGGATTGGACGAAATAATAATTAGGTAGGTCCTCACAACATGGAAGGCCAAAAAATCTAAAACAAATATTGTTACAGTTTGAAGCATTGCATTAATTTTCAAATTGGTAATTGAATTTGCATTTCAATAAGTCAGAATTCTCTAAATTAATCGATAATTACAAAATTGGTAAAATTGTAAATGAAATCATGGAACACATTGGATATTTAACAATATATAATTTCCTTAGTTGATGAGGACTGTTATGTATGATTCCTATGTAGTTTTTTTGGGAATGAAATATAATCTATATATTAATTTGTTCGAAATTATTAATCTTTAAAAATCATATGCTATATGTATAAAACTCTATATAGTGCAAGGGATCATTTTTTCATTTTCTGATTTATAATTACAAATTTGAGAAAAGTTTCAATGGTCACAAAATTATAGTAGCTAGGCCTGATGATCATAAGTATTACGTAATTCATTAATTAGAGAAAATCATTCGTTGATCATCACATTGGGATGCTATTCACTCAGATATGTAATTACAAGTGTATTTACAAGTCTAAACAGTTTTAAGGACAGAAGATATATAGTGATATGAAGCAATACTATCTTAATTTTATCTAAACTGCAGGATATATATATATATATATATATAGCTAGGTTTCATCAATTGTTTCTAATTGAAACTTAAAAATTTAGAGCAGGATCGAGTGCAATATTGTGATTAATTAATCCTTCCACAAAACAGTGATTCTTAAGATTTTTGGAGTTCATTAATTCTTGTAATTAATCAGTTCAAGTAACGCAAGAATGAATGTTCCATATACATAGAGTCCCTACAAGGATATATACTCTTAATTCATTATGCAGTACCTGAAAATAAGTACACATAAAGGAATTTATTAGTAAATTATACATTGTTACTGTACTCCGTGTCTTGAAATTAAACTTCTAAGGGACGCTAGCTAGCAGCAGATTCATATATACATCAGAAATTTCTGTATGCTTCCATCAATTTTGATCATACCATATATATTATGCTATATATATGTGTTTGTTCAAAAAAATAAATAAATAAGTCCATTTTGATTGCATGTAGAACAGCAACAACAAAATAAAGAAAAGGAACCCTTGAATAATTGACATTTTCTTTCATGCATCTCCTTAATTTCCACTGGACGACTGTGAAAAAGTATCTCAGGGAAGCCTAACAAAATCTGGTAGAAGCCAATCATATATAATTTCTATTGCTGTGGATAACAAAACTTATCCTGAAATTAATTAAAGAATCTTGATATTGTTAAAATGTAATTAGTGAAATTCATAAGTTGTTAATTAGTCCTTCATTTTATCGTACGTTCCAGCACAGGTACAGGTAGAAAAATTCACAGGTTGCCAGTTCAAGCCTGTGATTAATTAAGTTACAAAAAGGTCCAAATGCACTGCTTGCAGGCTATCAATTATTGATGTTCAGACCTGAACTTGCAATATATATATATATATATATATATATAGTTGTGTTAGTTTATTGAGGACGTGTATTAGGACTGTGAGACTCTCTCTCTCTCTCTCTCTCTCTGCATATATATTTATATATATATAGCTAAAACTCTCTGGAAATTAACCTGTTCTTTCAACTAAAATATATATGAGATCATAGATGTGTTGAAATTTCTATATTAACACGATTAACACACTGGAAAGCGGACAGTACGGGTACATCCAATCATTTTTCATTAAAAGTTTTTTTGTTGATTTCATCAAGTGGGTTAATTGCACTTAGGAAGTTCTGCAGAGCCTTAGAATTGCAAATTAAGAGAGAGAGAGTAGAGAGCTAACCCTAAAAGAACATAAGAGCACAGATAAATCTATGATGTTTAGTATATATGAAGCCCTCTTTAATTTGAAGTGTCAAACAATATATCCCATTATTTATATGCTATACTATACGAGCTAAGACACAAGAAACACAGAACACTTGATTTCATTAAGGGCCAAAAAAAAAAAAATAATAATAAAATTTACTAGTTAACAATCATTGAAAAACAGCTCACTAGAAAATCTCATGCCGAAAAGATACAACTTTTTATATTACCCTCCAAACAGATAGACAAGCCATGCATAGTATTCTTGAAATCTTTGTCCACTTGACACATCAAGGATGAGAGAGATGAATATCCATGCTAGCTAGCACATACCGCCAATGTTGTAGGCCTGATCATCCCATGTTTTGTACAAACAATATGGAAAGTCTGTGAATTGATGATGCTGCAACCAATTTTATATATATATATATATATATAGGATGGTCACAAATCTGAATAACAAGTATATCAACTATGATGTTATGTAATATTTAAGCTATCTAGCAAAATCAAATACATATCATCTATACCTAACATCTTGGAAAATAATGAAACTTTTCGTTGGAGCTTACCTCTTGAGCGATTCCATTGTTGTGTAGATTATTGGGAAAGGGGGACTCCACTTGCTCATATTCACCAAGGTTTCGTCAAGCATGCCCTCAGGAGTACCTAATTGCTCTTGCTCATTATAGATTGGCTCTTCAACTTCAGCCAGTTGGACTTCAAAGGAAGGATTAATATTGTGAGTACCAGATTCTTGATCACCTATTTCGAATGGACTCAAACAACCTGCGAATCGATTCAATTCATTTTTTTTGTTTCAAACTCGCAAAGCTTCGATTCGTCGATTAATCTTCGACTAGACAACTTTTCTTTCGTTCTCTCCCTAGCTCTTGCCCTTGCCTTCTCCCTTGATTCCTTTGCAAAAGGGCTGAATGCAGTTTTACGTGATGCTCTACTAGTTGTCCTCCTGTCTTTCTTGACAAACAGTGAGGATTTACCCGTAGAAACGTTCCTTCGTTTATTGGTAGCACCAATATCGATTTCGGAGAGCACTTCGCACTCAGAAGAAGATGCACTCTTGTTGCCAACAGTACTGCAGCTGTAATTCTCAACAGGGAAGCCACTATATAGTTTTTTTATTTCAGTTTCTGCCTGTGTGAGTAACCATTCGACGGTCTTGCTAGCTTTATCAAAGCGTAGCTTGTCTTGCAGATCAAAGAACTCTCGGGCAACCTTTAGAGACAATCTCATTCTCCGATCTCTAGGTCCTTGAGCCGTGTTAATCTTGCTGTGCCGATCTCTTTTGGAAGATCTCTTTCTTGGGATCTGATCATTATTGTTGTTGGATTGCTGGTTGCAGATTTCGGTTAGCTCAATAACGTCAATTTTGTTGGAATCCCCCATGTTATTAACGAGAGTACTAGTACTTGTATCTGTAGCACTGGAGGGTTGCTGGTGATGTAAAAGCTGGTCATAGTTTTGTTGGAGAAAAATAGGATGGTCTTCTAATTCTAGCTGATCATAAGTAGAAAAGGGAGAGGGCAAGTGGCAGAAAGATAAAGGAGGAGGCACATATTGTTTGGAATTGGAAATGATGTCACTGAAAAAGGGCATGTTATAAGCTTGTTGGTCACTATAGGAGATGGGGTCACTGCCATTGTTGCTGAATGGAAACATTTGAGCTTTGTAGTTGCACCAAAAAACACCTAGCCGCCGTAGAGCTACCCAGTGGACTACTGGAAATCATAAGTGAGAAAGACTGCAATGGATTTGTTACTGTTTACTTATGATTTTTTTTTTTTAATTTTTTTTGCCCTTTTCCCCCTCTCTCAGAGAGCTACTAGATAGCTTAGCTTTAGAAAGACAGCTGTTTCCACTCTGTTTAAAATTGTGTGTACTTTTGTCTGTGTATGCTTGTTTACAAGTTAATGTGTTTGGTGAGTTTAAGATAGAGAAAGACAGGGATAATCCATTTACCTTCCCGACTAGCTAGAGCATGAGAAAGACAACATAGCACAACTACTAGCTACTATTTTTCCATGGGGGTGGGGGTGGGGGGTGTAACGATGGGAAATAAGGGGGAGGTGGGGATTTGAATAATGATGGTGGGAGTTGAGGCACCCTAGGAGAGGGGAATTTATGGGCGACAAAGAACCATCTTTTTCTTGAAAATCATTTTTTCTTTTGTATAAAAGTTGGTTTTTCTTTTTGGGCTAAAAAGCATGAAAGGGAAAGAGATAAAGAAAACAGCAATGTTGTGGGAAGTGAGTAGACAGGGAACACCTAGTATTAGTGCCACTTCACGTGGTTGCTAGCAGGTGAGATGAGACTTTGACATTGAAGTACTCCTATCTTCTTTCAACAAGCCAAGGAGTTTGCATGGACTTCATATTCGATATTTTTGCAGGATGATGTGAGTTGTTTTTTTTTTTTCTAAATTAGGATTGGATTGTGTTTCATTTTTAGCCTTCCACGTGGCTATGTTCAACCCTAGCAAGGACAATTATTTCCTTCGCTTAAAGGGCATACTGTGAACCTGTCATACCTTATTAGAGCCAATGCTGCTTTGACTGTGAAAGTATACCCATATTTGTCGCTTTCACTTAAAAGAGAAACCCCATCACACACACACTCACTTATGTCTTTCAATCACGTCTATGTGAGAATGTCGTTGGGTTCCTTCCTTCCAAACGCAAGCGTGCTTATGGTTGTGGAGCTATTTAAAAGGGAAGCTTGCTCTTCATACAGTAAAAAGCTCTCAATGATACCCTAGCCAATCACCTCTTGCCAACAACCCATATGTCATCTCATTTGGAGATGGTAATTCTCCTATTTATCGATAACAATTTTTTCAGGCATTCATTTCCCCTCCCCTCTCGTGTACTTTCTTTTTCTTTCCATTTATACATGCCGTTTTATCCACTTATCTCGATAATCTCTCTCTCTCTCTCTCTCTCTCTAGCTGAGCATGACCTGTATAGACTGGCAAAATTAGGAGGACCACATCATATGGAGAGCTGGTTGTTCTAAGGTTGCTATCAAGAAGTTGATAACTACGAATAAAAGGTGATGGATTGTACCATTTTCAAGTGTGGGTGATGAAGAGAGCATAAAACCCTAAAAAGTCTTGTATAGACTAAGTGCTTTCATATCCATGGTGAGCTCTTGCCAGTACCAAATTCCTTTTGTGGTTGAAATCGAAAGGCCTTAAAGGATAAAAAAAATCCTATAGTTTCTTGGCCTTTCACTCTTCCCCAGGTTCATTTTGGAATCAGTATGATAGGGGATGAACCAGTTTCCAGAAAAAAGCAAAATTTTTGGTGACTTGTATACCCATAGTTCTTATGGGTGGCTTAATTAGATATTTTTCTAATATTAAATTATTACTCATTCGGAAATTTTTTAGTACTGTTTCCTGGAATTAATTTGTTGTTTGGAACCTAGTTTTTTTTTTTTTTAATAAAAATAAAAATCCAAGGGAGTTCTGCTTTTTTATCTTATTGCAATTGAAAATATCTTGTGGTATATGATATCAAGCATATATCAAGAAATAAATCTCTCCTTTTTTACTCTAGTTTGGACTATTAGTGGCAACTCTTTTTTATTGATTATATATATGAGATTTTTCTCATTTTTTTGTTTATTTTTTTACCATCTTTTCATATCTGATTTGTAGGTATGATTAGCTATAATCTTCCATCAATGAAACCTTTAATTTTCATGTCAATTTGGAGGAGCCCTGTTTTGATGCTTCAATTTGCAAAATGAATACTTGGAACAAAATAGTTGCCAAATAGAAGATGTTTTATTTATGTGGAAGGGTTCAATACAACATTTGTTGATCACAACATATCCTATCCTATGATGTCAAGAAAGGAATTATAATCCTTTACTGCTCAAGCAATATGCGTATAAATGCCCCCATTTGAATCATTCGTTCAACATTGACATGCCTGCTTTTTTCTGTGTGATTAAGATCGAATAAATGTAGCACAGTACACACTTTTTGGGAGTTTGATCTTTACTAGCACAGAACACAATAGAACCAACTTTTCTACAAAAGCTTGACAGGAGTGCAGGTGTAGATAATGCAAATAATTGACTCATCGTGCTAAGTTCTAGTTGAACAAGAAATTTTTTTCAGAAAAATACAAGTCTATCCGCCAAATTATTTGGTCAGTTTGTTTATGGCCGCCACGAGCAGGCAAATAGGGGCATTTCATTTCCTTGCATTGTCTTTTCCTTTGTTGTTTTGTGTAGTGGGTATTGGAACCAAGGAAATACATAGGACAAGTTGTAATTAGTTAGGAGTAGGAAGAAATAGCTATTTGTTTTCACCAAGATATTGAATATTGGTGTAGTTTACTGGCATATATATTGAGAAAACTGGAAATTTATCACCCAATCTTTAATTCGAGTGTCGAGTATATATATATATATATATATATATATTGCTTAACTTGAATTTTGATATCTAATCTAATAATTCGATATTACGTATCACTTAAGTGATCACTTGACCGTTATCTCATATTTCTAACAAAAGTATGGATCCAAAGTTTTGAAAAAGAAAACACATGCATGCATTTTTAGAGATGAGGGACAATTTTAAAGCCTCATTTTCTCTCTCCCTTTTAATTAAAACCTAAATCAATTCTAAGTGATATGATCAATATGACCAAGAAAATGGTGTGTTAATTTAATTCATATTAATGGTGGTTGATTGTTTGTGGTGCTGTGGTCCTCCATCTACAGAGGCAATGATACATAGATGGTAGCTTGGGATTGTGATGATACAGGTTGACTCGGTTTCAAAACTTTTTTTTTTTCTTATTTTTTTTGCCTATGAATTATATATTCTTTTTAGCTTTTAAAATTGGTTTCTTATTTCTAATATCAATTTGTATTTAACAGAATATTCTATTTCAAATTCAGTTTTGCATTTATTCGATCCAATCTAATCCCACATCACCACTTTTTTTTTTTGCCAATGTCACATGAGATAATGGTCATACCATCACTTTTCTAATGCTTATCATAAAGAGTATCATATTAGAAAAAGAAACAGAGGTCAAGATATTTGAAATAGAATTGAAACTGAAGCACTTAAATAGAAATTTAATACAACTTATAGAGATTTATATTAAAAATAAAATCAAAGGTGAACAAATTAAATCGGTAGGATTAAAGGTTAGGCTAATATTTAAATAAATAAATAAAATTAATCATAGGTAGGATATCAGATTCTCGGGTTTCTTTTTCAAAACAGAGGAAGTACCAAGTACGTACAAACTAATGAAGTTAAGTTGCGTGACGTATTGAAATTAATTAATAGTGGTATAATTTTTATTTTTTTATAATTGATTTTCTTTTTAAACTCGAATGTTTCAGACTCGTGATATTAATTGTGGTGGGTGCAATTATACTCAATAATTGTGGGTGCAAATAAATTCAACTTCTTACCACTGGATCGGAAGCCAGTTTTTCTGGCGGGTGCAAATTAATTGTGGTATATGTATCCTTAGTACTATGAGCATGAGGTCTTTAATCATTTCCTGATAACCCATGAGCCAATTATACTCAATTGCTGATACAGTCTTTGATTACCCAATTGCTCGAGTTTATTATACTAAAGTTTGGAGAAAATATTTTTGCACTGCTATGTATATATATATAGATATATATATATATATATATATATATAGATATATATATATGCATGAATGAACTTCATTTGCACTTTTATTTGAAATGTTAAAACATTAATTGTATTTTTTTTGGAAGCACAATCAAAAGATAATTAATTAGTTATATTAATTTTAATTAGAAGATGAGATTCAAAATACATTTAATTAGGAAAGTAAAGCAATGCAAGTATACATTGCATTTGGACAATAAATTCACATAGAAATCCATGTAAATTATAATTTAGTCCCTATGTTTTTAATAAAATAATTATCTAATTTTCTTGTTTTAAAAACCTAATATTGAGTCACTAAATTTTCAAATTTGATTGTAACTTGGTCCTTGTCTTAGTTCTTGATCCCATTATATATATATATATATATATATATATATATATATATATATATATATATATATATATATATTGTCTAATATATCCTTCAATTGTAATCAAACTTTCCAATATTACCTACCACATACCAAATCAAATGGATTTCAAAAAAAGTAATTTAGAAAATTTGAAAAAAAAAAAAAAAGAAGCCAATTTTGGTCATAGGACTAACTTGTGCATTTTAAAAAAATAAAGTGACTAACTTACAAAATCATAAAAAATGGAAAGACTAAATTATAATTTATTCTAGATTTTTTCATGATTTTGAAAGAGTTGTTTATGATATAAAGATAATATTGTCTGTTATTGAAGTTTGATATTTATATGTTACGGAGATGCATTATGCAAGGACTATTATAGAGACGGGAATTATAGTCTGTATAAAGAGTAGGGATATACTTGCATAAAGGATATGCATGAGAAGTGAGAGCCATGCAGTGACACGCAAATAAGAAACAAATTATAAACAGAGATGTATATGGACACACAAAGCTTGAAGTATATCCTTATCATCCTCTCTCAAGCCGAGCAACGGAATGCGAGTCGACTTGTTCCGTAGTAAGAAAAATTGTTGTTTGGATAGTGGTTTTGTCAAAATATCTACGATTTGATCATTGGTGGAAATGAAGTGCACCATTAGCTCCTTTTTGTTTACTTTGTCTCGACGAAGTGAAAGTCGATTTCCAAGTGTTTGGATCGTGCATGGAAGACGGGATTTGCGGCAAGATAGGTAGTTGAGATATTGTGACACCAAATGGTAGGTGTTGCGAAATGGTGATGTGTATTTTCTTTAAGAGAGACCGAATCCATGTGACCTTGGACGTTGTTTTAGCTAAGGCACGACACTCGCATCCGTGGGAGATTGGGCTATTGTCCTCTGTTTCTTTGAGCACCACGACACAAGATTTCCACCCGGGTAAATTGCATACCTAGTGGTACTTTTTCTATCATCTATATCTCCACCCCAATCCGCATCACTACAAGCATAGAGAGTCAATGTAGTTGTTGGGCGGAAGTGTAGCCATGATCAACTCGTGGTGCATAAATAGCGTAAGATCCTCTTAACGACGGACCGGTGTTCATTTATGGGAGCATGCATGAACCGGGCCACTTTGTTAACGAGCATAAGAGATTTCGGATATGTTGATACAAGGTACCGGAGCCCTCCCATAACACTACGAAACGAGTAGGTTCCGCATACATTATCCTAGCCTTCATCAATTTTGCGGAGACACAAGCGAGCGTTGAGATGGAGCTTGCTTCATGTATGTTAGCCCTGCGAAGGATATCTTTAATATACTTGGTCCGAGTTAAAATCAATCCTCCCTTACACCAATGAGCCTCAATGCCTAAAAAGTATGACAACTTGCCTAGGTCTTTAATTGCAAAGTGTCGTTGAAGTTGGGTTTTAAAAAGCTTGATGAGGTCTGCCATTGTTGCTCGTTACAAGGATGTCATCTACATAGATTAAGCGAGTAAACAATATCCTAACCTTTTTTTGTAGATGAACGAGAATGTGTCGAATGATAGCCCTTGAATCCAAGTTGAAGGTGGTTGGTGAGGCATTGATACCGGGCTCGAGGTGCTTGTTTGAGGCCGTATAAGGACTTCTTCAAAACACATACATGGGATGGAAAGTTGGAGTCTACATAGCTTTGTTGTACGCTGGTTCTTCAAGATTATTATGTAAGAAGGCGTTTGACACATCCAATTGCCGCATCGTCTAACCATTTGAGACGACTAGAGACAAAACCAACCTCACGAGTGGTGGGTTTAACAATGAGGTCGAATATGGCGAGTGAAATCAATACACGGGCACTTGGTGAAAGCCTTTTACAACAAGGTGCGTCTTAAATCGATCAATGGTGCTATCTTGCAGCCTTTTGATGCGATAAACCCATCGATTGCCCACAATATTAGAAGCTTGAGCTCATGGAACCAATGTCCTTAAGGCGAGTCATTTCTTCATCCATCGCACGGTCCAATCTGAATTTTTGACGAGCATTGTTGTAATTTGTTGGTTTAGATGTGATATGGGTATGGTGGTTTTTGGGTTTGTTGTGGTCGGTTATTGATCTTGTGTTCATGGGATAGGAGGGTCGTTGGTGATGACGGGATTAAGGTAGAGAGGAATAACCCGTGAGATTTATTCTCTTATGTTTAGTCATTTGAATGTAATTTTAGAGTATATTTGCTAGATTAAGTTTATTTTGTATTTTAATAGATGATTAGAGGTAAATAATTAAAAGTGAGTTAATTAAGGTAAAATTTCACTGCACGACGAATGACTTTAAGAAAAAGATACGATAATTTCACATTCTTAGATATTCGGAAAATAAAAAAGGCCTTATTGAGATTTGAAATTGACATCTTAAGCTTTTCAAAATGGGATTAAATGTACAAATCAATTGTGTTTTGGATTTTCAAAGTTGGCTACAAAATTGAATCAGAATTTGGATACTATGACAATTCAAAACACTCGCTTAGTGTTTAGATCACATGTGGAGTTCTAAACATATAAAATCAAAACATCAAAACCTACTACTTCTATGAGAAATCAAGCTACAATAGACCTTCATTTGATCTGAATTCAATGTAAAAGTTACAATACATAATTTGGAGTCCTATCTAGTCATAAATCCTAATTAATTTAAGATACTATTCTAAATAACACTTTTGAGCTCTTGTAGCTATCTCTATATATGTATAAATAACTTTTGTGATTGCATATTCGAACACATTAGGTTTTACTTGAGAATTTAAATTTTTTTAAAAACCTTAAATAAATCTTATTAAGTGATTTATAATATATATTTATCTATCTAACTGTTTTTTTTATATATAAAAAAGCTGAAATATGGACTCTTTTCTTTTTTTCAAAAAATGAAACTTAAAATTAAAAATTTTAATTTTTAATTTTTTTAAATAGACTAAAATTCGAGGACATTTAACTATTTAGCTTTATTGCAAAACAAATTCACGACTTATTTTCTACTAAAATATTTTTATTTTGAAGACAAAACATAAGAAGAAAGAATTTCATCTAATTCAAAGAGTGATTTACACGCGCCCTCCAAACCCCTCGCTTTCTTCCTTCCTTTCCCGCCATTACAACACCAGACCATATAAACCACACACTCTTTAGTTTCTTCAGTTTTTAGAAACCCTAATTTCTTGATTATCAAATGGGTGTAAATAATAATTTTGAAGAATAGAACAAGCTCCCTGAGCTTAAGCTAGGTAAATAATGAATGTTTTTGTTTTATTTTCCTTTTTTCTATGGTTGAGAAATGATTTGTTTTTTTGAAATGTTAGTATGAGATGCTAAGCAGGCTCAATGATTCCTCTCATTTTTCAAAACCCTACCCCATGTAAGTCCTAATCAATTTTTTAATTTCTGGGAATATAAAGCATTAACTTAAAGGAAGAAGAGGGAAAAAAAAAGAGTTTTGAGTTTTGTTTTTGTTTTTTTTTTTTTTTTTTTATTGTTATTATTTTTTAAAGTTTTTTTTTTTTAATTGTTTGGGTGTGTTTCGCTTTGCTTTTGCTGTCGCAGGACCTAGGGCGGTTCGGATCTTTGATAGAAGGGTGAGTTCAAATTCGGGGTCTTATTGAACTTCTTAATTGTTTCTATTTTGATTTAATATGAATTGGGTCATCCCCTTTGTCATAACTGTTGGATTTTCATCTTGGATTGTGAAACTTTCCTGTTTTAGTAAGGAATTAGTAGTATGATTCAGGGTAGTGCTTTTAGGGGTTGTGAGAAATGAGAATCGTTTCCTTTTAAGGTATTCTTACAATGCTATACGGACACTACTTTCTTTAGAAATTTATGTGTTATTTCTTGCATTCCATTTTACAATCATCTAAGAAAGCTCAAATTACAGGAAAAAAAAGACAAGGTACTCTCGAGAATTATATCATTTCTTGCTGTTTTCTTACCAACGGGGTTTTGTTTTGCCATCCAAACTTCAACACGTAGATTCTCAAAATGCATGCCAGAAGTATTGGGTTTCCTTTTCTTCTATTATGCATGTTTTTTTTATTCTTTGTTTATTTTTATTTTGATGGGTATGATATGTCAATTTACCAGATATTGCTCTTCATTAGTAGAATTTATAAGTGTTTCACTTTGCTCTGTTTGGTTGTCTTATTAAGTGTCTACTTTGTAAGTAATCTTGTTTAAATATGCAGGACTATTATACAGGTCATGGTGAAAATGCAACCTTCATTGCAAAGCCATACTAGCACTGCTCTGCGCCAGTTGGGTAATGGATCTAATGGCCTTTCTAGTGTGAGCATTAGTAAGAATAATTTTGAAACAATTGCCCAGGATCTTCTTTTGGAGAGAACAGACCACACTCTTGAGCTCTATGAAGGGAGCGGATCCAATTGGAGACTAGTGAAAAGTGGGACTCTTGGAAATCTTGGTAGTTTTAAAGATGTTTTGTTTGCAAACAATGAGATGCAGGATTCTCCTGTGCTTGTTGCACTTTGTCCAAACTTCCGTGAAAATGGTGCACTGTTGGGTTGAGTTATGTTGATCTAATGAAGAGTTCTTCGGTTGGCTTAAGTTCTAGATGATAGCCACTTTACAAATATGGGGTCAGCTTTGGTTGCCTTCAGTTGCAAGAAATGTCTTTTGCCCATGGACAGTGGCAAATCAGTGACTGTAGAACTCTCCATGATGTTTTAATCAGATGTGATGTTAACTGAGAGAGAAAAATGAGTTCAAAACAAGGGATTTAGTGCAGGATCTTGGTAGGCTAGTCAAAGGTCCCATCGAATCGCTTAGAGATTTAGTTTCTGGTTTTGAATTTGCACCTGGTGCTTTAGGAGCATTGATGTCTTATGTAGAATTACTTGCAGATGAGAGCAATTCTGGTAATTATAGCATTAGAAAGTACAATCTTGACAGCTATATGAGGCTCGATTCTGCTGCCATGAGTGCACTGAATGTCCTTGAAAGCAAAACTGATGCAAACAAAAATTTTAGTTTGTTTGGTCTCATGAATAGAACTTGTACAGCTGGAATGGGAAAAAAGATTGCTTCATATGTGGCTAAAACAGCCTCTAATAGATTTAAATGCAATCAACTCCAGACTAGATTTGGCACATGCATTTGTGAAGAATGCAGGGCAAATTGTTGAGAAGAGAAGAGCTGGCTTGCAGCATAGTGTGAAACTTTATCAGGTGAAATTCAATTTTCTGTTGCCTGTACTCACTCCTTAACGCATGCGCTTGATGTATGGTAGAGTTAGTGATTATTTGACTAGACAATTAGCTAAAACACTGACTCTAAAACACTGACTCCTCTCCATTTTCTACCAAGTTGGCTAATATTTCTTGCCTACTTCTGCTTATACTCACTTTCCATCTTTGGTTAAGGATGATTATATGGTACTTTTAGAGTAGAGTAGCTCTTGGTATGGAAAATGAAGTGTAGATTTGTCTTCAGAAAAAACTTGCTGCTGTTTGTATTCTTTCCTTTTTGGCACTCTCTTTCCCCTGATGCCACCTAGAAGTAGTATCCAGGGCTGCCTAGTGCTTATATGGCACTTAAAGACTGGAGATGCCTCTGGGTATGAAAAAAGAAATGCAGTCAATCTTCAGAAATGAACTTGCTCGTGTCATCCACAGTTGTGCTTTTTGTTTCTTTTTTTTCTTTCTCAGCACTCCTTTACTTCTTGATGCTACTTAGTAGTATCCAGGCTGTGTATTTCTACACTCCTTCAAGTAATTATTCTGTTGCTTTCTTTAATTAATTAATCACATGCATGTGTCCTAATCTGTTCTTTGTACCAATAACTGTATTTTTTTGTTAATGTGACTGTTTTTTTTTTTTTTTTTTTTGATACATTTTTGGGATGCAGTCAATTATAAGATTACCATACACTAAAAGTTCTCTGGAATGATTGATGGGCAATTTTCATCCCTTATCAAGGAAAAGAATATGGAGCTCCTTGTGTTTTGGACTAATTGTGATCACTTGAATAAGTTCATTGCTCTTGTGGAAACTGCTGTTGACCTCGGTCAGCTTGATAATGCAGAATAAATGATTTCACCTAGTTATGAAGATCCCTTAGGTGCACTTAAAGCTGAGCAGGAGTCATTGGAGCGCCAGATACACAATTTGCATAAACAAACTGCTTCTGTTCTTCACCTTCCTCTAGATAAAGGATTGAAGTTAGATAATGGAACACAATATGGTCATGCCTTCCAAATTACAAAGAAGGAAGAGCCAAAAATAAGAAAAATGCTGACCACCCAGTTTATTATCCTCGAAACTCAAAAGGATGGGGTGAAATTCACAAACACAAAACTTAAAAAATTAGGGACCAGTACCAAAAAATAGTTAGAGGAATATAGGAGTTGTCAGAAGGAGCTTGTCAATCTAGTCTGAATTACTGCAACTTTCTCTTAGGTATTCATCCTTTATCATGTACTGTCACTTTAATCTGGCTGTGATTCTGGATTAATGCAAGTTTCATGTTGCAGATGTTTGAGAACTTATCTGTCTTGCTTTCTGAATTGGATGTCTTACTTAGTTTTGCTGATTTGGCTTCTAGTTGTCCTACTCCGCACACAAGCCCCAACATCACTCCATCTGTAATTATTTGCTTCATCCACTTCCTTCTGTTAATCTATTTTGTTGTTTGGACTGTATGATATTTATCATATTTGCTGTTATAGGAGGTGGGTGATATAATAGTCGAAGGAAGTAGATATCCATGCATGGAAGCTCAAGACTGGATGAATTTTATACCAAATGATTGTAAACTTGTGAGTGTTCAATTGATGAAGGAGCATGCTTCTTCTGGCCTTCTAATATCCAAGTGCGTCATTACTGTTTCTTTGTTATCTTTCCATTAACCAGGTCAGGGGAAAGAGTTGGTTCCAAATAATCACAGGGCCTAATATGGGTGGAAAATCCATATTCATTTGCCAAGTATGATTTTTTTTTTTTTTTTAAAAAAAAGATTCGGTTTCATGCCTTTAATTGAGAATCATTTCATCTTTCATGATATCACTCTTACCTCTAGAAGTTTAGATCTTGTTGGTATTTTAGTCTGTCAATGCATTTGACTCAACACAATTTAAGGCTATGGCCTCCTTGTCTGAGTTAATCTTTTATTTGATATCACCATATTAGTTGTTTTCATCAATGGGAGACACCAAGGTCCCTCTCAACCTCTTTTTTTCACTAGATCTTCAATCTATCTAGTTTACAGACGATTTTCCTAGGTTGCTATATCTGTATATTTTTGTTTCACTTGCAGACAGGTGTGAGTATTCTCATTGCCAAAGTTGGTTCCTTCATTCCCTGCGACAAGGCTAGCATCTCTGTTCATGATTGCTTTTTTGAACTTGTGGGTGCTGATGATTGTCATATGAGTTCCATGGCATAACCTCTTAAAGTTCCAACTCTTGAATTTGAGTGTCATGGATACCTTGTATTCGGCATTTATCTGCTTTTGCTTTCTGTTCCCCTTTTGCTCTTTCTTGCATATTTAATATCTAGTTTCTTACTCCATGAACTATAAATAAAGTTCTATGCTCAATATTCATCAATTTCAAAGTTCCTGCACACCTTATTTCTGCTGTTGAATGTTTACATACTCATCCTATTCTATGGCTTTGGGAACATCACCTTGGTAAGATGTAGCTGGGAACCTACGGTATGTTGTATAAAATGCACAAGATTAAATCTCATTTCTTTTTCGTATTCTACTATTTTAAAATGCTATATGTTTGTGTGTTTTGATAGAGTAATGTTTGCTAACAATATAGGACGGTAAACATAAGATGTTTCATGCTGTATGTGTTGCTATCAGTTTTAACTACTTCTAGATATAAAAAGAGTGAATTACAGGAAGAGCAGAAGAAATCAAGCACCTGAATTAATGTTACCATTTACACTCGCAGGTACATAGTAAACAGATTTGCTGTCATTTGTGTTTTTAAGGATGTAAAAAAATAAGATATTAATCTCAAAATAGGAGTCAATTAGTGCATCCTACAGTAACAAATTCAATGTGAAATCTGTTTGGTATAAAAGTTTGGCTTGCTTCAATGATTTTTTGCTAAGTTAGAAATTTGATTCTTCTCTCATTGTCTAAGTAAGACTATATTCATCAAAGACAAGTTGAAAAATGGAGATGAACCCTCTGCTGTTTAGATCCTTCTTTCTGACATTAGTCATTTATGTGAACATAATAAGTATTTGTAATCCCATTAGTTATCAGATTATTTTAGGTCATTGATAATTGTTAATGAGTTAGGCTGTGGGACATCAACTTATGATGGATTTGGTAGGTTTCAACAATTTCCAGGGCCTTGAGATAATAGTTGTTTTTGGGTTTTTTTAATTGAAGTTGTGATTGAAACTCACTTACTCATTTTACCTAGATCAGTATGATTTAAAGTTTCTCGAAACTATTAAATGGATGTTCCACAATCTTCTATTTCTTTTCTTTTCTTATCCTCTCATTTGAAAGGTATGAAATGTGTCTGCTTTCCTTACCTAAATCAGTAATGATTTAAAGAATTGTTCTCCTATTTGAAGTTGCAAGCATCCAATTAAATTTGTTTGAGGTTTGAGAGCTTCTGACAAATTAAATGTGTCTGCTTCTTTTTTCTCCATGAGTTTGGGGAAACTCGTTTTTTCTCCATTTATTTGTAGTTTGGACTTTGGACTTTTCTGTTTTTAAACCCATTGCTTAGAACTTCTTTTCGCCTTTTGTGGAAAGTGATGAAGTAGCTGTATTGTTTGATCCATATTGGAATTATTGTTTGGTTAGGTTAAATTTCAATTGGTAAACATGATCTTTTTCCTCACGTTTTGTTCTGGTGTTCAGGTTTAGCATGGGCCATATGTGGACACCTGGTTCAAGTGATAAAAGCACTAACTTTATTTGCAACCCACTTTCACGAATGACTGCATTAGCTCAGGAAAAAAGCTGACTAGGATCTCCATATGAAGCAAATTGTTGGCGTTGCAAACTATCATGTCAGTGCACACATTGACTTATCAAATCGCAAGCTGACCACTGCTATCCAAGGTAAATGCATTGAGGACCACTGCTATACTTTGAGTAGAGAGGTTAACATGAATATTATTGGATAGTATAGGAGGCATGGGGTGCATTTAACTCATTTTTCTTTGTCATTTAGCAATATTTGCTTACAAAAAGAAAAGTTAACTAGAGAAAAGAAAATAAAATGAGGAGTTTCAATTTTTTTCTATTTACATTTTTTTTTTTTTTTTTTGCATGTTCTATTGTGATATTAGTTGTATTTGACTCAAAACAACCTTCTTTAATCATGATCCTTAATAATGACGTATATCATTGTTGAAGTAGCAATTTTAGGATTAGTTTTTGATTAAATGTGATTATGCTACTTATGAGTGGCTAGGTTAGCAAATATAGGTTTAAAATGCTTGCACTGATGACCTTCATACAACTGTGAATTCAAGGTTGAGCTAGGGCTTGTGATTGAAGTTTTGGTATTCATGTTCAGAGTTCGCAAACTTTCCTGGAAGTGTTGTCGCCTTTGCTTGAGAAAAGGCAGCTGAATTGGAAGTTTCTCACCTACTGCAATCATTTCAGACGATGCTAGAAAAGTGTCTTTGATGAAAACTAAAGCTTCTGTCTCAGCATTGGCTCTATACTTCTGTATATCCTTCTAGTTATATGAGCATTCTAATAATTTTTGTTGATAAACGTTAGATTCATACAATAGCATGTAGGGCTAGTGTCATGTGGTATTATTGATTATATTTATTCTCTTCTATTTAATTTTTTGGATGCATTTGCAAGTTATATATGCTAAATAAAATTTATTTTGTGTCTTAGAAGAAAGTTGGAGGCAAATAAGCAAAAGTGTGTCCACTTGAGTGAAATTTTACAATGTTGGCAGAATGACCTTGAGAGGAAGATATGAGAATTTTACATCCTTAGAGCTCTAGAATGTAGAAAAAGCTTTCTTGAGATTTGAAATGGACATTTTAAGCATTTTAAGTTGTGTTTATGCACCTAAATCCAAATTGTTTTGGACTGTCAAAGTCAGTTGCAAAGTTAGGTTTGGAATTCGAATGTCACGATAGTTCGAACACTGATCGGTATTTAGACCTTATTTGGAGTTTTAAATATTGGATTGAGATGATTCAAAAGCCTACAGAAAGAAAACATTCAGCCCTACAACTTTCATGAAGAGTCCAAGTCCAATCAGCCCGCCATCAGATTCGAAATCAGCTCAAAAGTCCCATCACAAAATTTGAAGTCTCATCTAACAAGTCTTATTCGAAAGTAAAGTCTATAAGATAGACTTATTAGCTGCCAAACTTCTGTACTTACATGTATAAATAGCCTCTAAGACTATTCTAAAAGGATCAGATGCTTTTATTCACATAATTTAGGGTAAAAATGCATTTATGATGTCCGGCTAATTTTCTTATTCAGTTAAAAGAATTTCAACTTCAATTGGCATCATATTGTGAGACATAAGTTTATTCTTTAACCTATGCTTAGTTATTCGAGTAATTTTTGTTTCTTTAGTTCTAATTACTTATGATTGCATAGATGATTGTCTAGGAGGTCTATTAATAGATTGTTTATTGTAATTGATAGCTAACTGATTTTCTTAATTTGTAATTGTTAGATAAGTTTAGTACCATTAGCAATTAAGTTTTCATGATTATGAGCCTACGTTTATGACTATCTTAGGGAAACAAATAATGAATTAAATAATTTGAATGTTTTAAAATTGTTGTTCAGTTCTAGTTTCTTTCTAATTCATAATGTTATTATTAATTTGACTTGGACTACTTAATATCAAAATCAATTGATAATAAGAATTTAATTTGGGTGTTAAGTTTGAATTAATGAATGAAATAAAGATTTGGATTTATTTAGTGTCTATGTACTTCTAGACCAATTATTCAACGAGAGAATAGTAATTCAAGTGTCCGATTAATTTGCAAATTGAATATGTGATTTTTTTCATGAATTAAAGTTTTTTTTTAATAGAAGTTTATCTACATTTAAATTCTGTCTTATTCATTAATTTAGTTTTGCATACAAAACAAACCCCTCCTTTTCATTATAACTTTAAATGAATTAGTCTACTAGTTTTAGGGGTTCGATTTGGACTTGCCAGTACGATAAAATTTGAGGAGAGCAGTAATTGATTAAATTTGGTAAATTCAACTGTCATCAGTCATGCCTTGACGTTTCAATTAGTCTCAACATTTGAAGGGTTGAACAACTCTAGTTTGACTTCTCCTTTTAATAAAGCATCAGAATTTACACACTAGAAAGTATTAAGACCTACGGCTAGATGCACCACTTCTGTAGCGTGAAAAACAACTACGGATTCAAGTTGACTGACTGAAATGCATTTTGCGCTATAGAGTATGAACTGCTACTAAAAATGTGATAGATTTCGTGTCAGTAATCTCCAATAATAGCAAATTTTTTTAATGTGATTTTGAACTTGGTAAAATGATATTATATTATCATAAAGCATTCAATTAGGTTGGAATATTGACATTTTCATTTATGATTTGCTGGTTGGATTCAAACGAAAAGGAGAGTGCGATACCGATGATATGCCTAGAGGTGCGGCTCGGGCTCACTAGTTTTTGAGGGACCTCTCTGATTTTGCCATTAGATATAATAGGCTTGAAGCAAGCTCTGCAACAGATAAGCAATCTGAGCGATGACTTGGAGAAAGATGGCTTGGATGTCTGTAAAGCCTCTATGAGTAGCATACAGTGAAATGCTCCACTTTTACCGCCATTTTCTTGTGCATTAAAAAAAAAAAAAAAAAAAAGGAATAAAAAGAGGCAGCAGGCACCTCAGTTGGCTCAACATTTTCAGCCCCTCCTTTTTAGCCCTTCATTTTTGTTGGTGCAGGTATTGGGTTTTGTAATTAGCGAATCATAGAATTCCCAGCACTGACCATTAATTGGCTGGATGGATGGTCTCGTGTCTTTAGCTTCTTTAATTTATTAATTCTCAAACTGAAACTTTTCTCAATTAAATTCTTCACCTATTAGAATTTTTCAATTGAGAACCCCCATCTAGATTCATTAATATTTTCTGTTTGGAGTGTATGTTTTATGCAATAAAGCGATTTTATTTTGAAGAGAATTCGACATTTTCTGTTAAGAAATTGTGATTATTTTAAACCAGGGGATCCAATTGAGGAAACTTCTTTTCATTGATGGAGTTCATTGAGAATAAGATGGTTGAAAAGTTAATTAACGTTTTTATAGTATATAACTTTTCTAAGAATATTACAAATCTTATGGCGACATAGATCAAAATAATAGTCACTAGACAGAATTGGAATTTTTTTTGTCTCTCGATGCTAACCAGAATGATTTAAAAATGTTATCTTTGTTTGTCAATTACTCCTTTTGAAAAGATTCAAGACGCCTCAACTAACTTTGGATTTTTAGGAGTTGTACATGTTTGTAATCATGACAAACTACACACGTGTAATATATTGTATAATCATGAGTCAGAAACAGGAGTGACCATAGCATTTGGATCATCAGCATATTAAAATGGTATATTTTAATTTGTACTATTTAGATTTATGATTTGTCATATTTTACGTAAAATTTTTAGTTGGTTTCAATTAACCGTCTATGTCTTTCATTATTGTTCCAATTAATCTCCACATCTTTTATTTTTATTCTATTTTCTTCCCACCATCTATTTTAGTTGGAAACTAGTTTTTCACTCGTGTTACACTCACGGATCGGACGTAACATATAAAATGATTTTAATTTGAATATTTGCACTTCATTATGAATCCACCTAAATATATTATAACATAGTTTTTTTTTAAAAAAAATCAATTCAATTTCTTTTTTTTTAATTAAAATTTTGCGTTTGAGTAATTATTCATTATATTTTTCATAAATTATCTAGAAAAAAGATAAAACTTGTGATAATCTAAAAATAAAATCTAAAACTCCATGGATTTTTAACTAAAAATTCATTTTGTAAATTTTTTTTCCAAAAAATCTAATACAAATTCTCTAATATATATATATCGCTATTATTTAAAAATCTTAAAAGTTCCTCATATAAATTATCTAACTTTATTTTTTTAAAAGAAAATAATCACGTTTAAAAATTTTATTTAAAAATCCATGCACATAAAATAATAAATCATTTTTATCAATAAATAATATTTAAATAAAATAAAAATTAATTGGATGGCAATCTCTATAAGAAATGACAAATTGAAGAAATAAATTTTAAATAATAAAAATAATATAATCTAAAATATATGTTGAGTGATAGTGAATAGTGCAATTGGGTGTAATGCATTAGTATTCTCTTTTTAGTGTTTTGGTTAATAGAATTCTACAATCCATAATTATTTATTAGGTAGTCATGAATTAATTTTAATAGTTAATAGTTAATAGAACATAATTAAAAAATCATATTATTAGGATGTATGGAATTTACACTATAAAAAATAAAAAATTAATCCTGAACTAAACACTAGTAATAATTGATTACAACGCAAGTTAGATGTTCATTCATAGAATTCGATCATGGGCACAATCGTTCAAGAATTCATCAATCCCTCTTGTTTTGAAAAATGAATTAATTAGTCATTTTGATTTCAAAAAATAATTATTTAATTTTTTTAACCAACGCTCACCACAATTAATTTATTTTTTTATTTTCTAAAATATCTTATTCTCTCATCAATATTTTTTATATTTTTATATTTTTATATTTATTTTCTATTTCTTAAAAAAAAAGTGAAAAAAATTGAAACATAGAAAAAATGACAAAAAATAATCTTTAAAATTAGATGGACTAATTAATTTGTTTCCCTAAAAAGAGGGACTAATTTATAATTTACTCTTTGAGGCTCCTCTCTAGTCACGAAAGAAGGAGGAAAAAAAAAAAAAAGGAAAGCACATGAGCATTAAATGCTTGATAAGGAAAGAAAGGGAAATGAAGAAAAGGGTTGAAAAAGAAATAAGAAAGAGAGAATTAGTTAAGGGTAAATGTGAATTTTCACAAATTCACCGAGTGACAATAAAAGTAATTAAATGCAAAAGAGAAGGCCATTTATAAGGAAGAGGAAAAAGAAGAAGGGAAATGACAAAAAAGGCTAAAAAAGAAAATTAAAAAGAGAATCAATCGAGGGCGAATGTGGATTTTCACAAATCCACCGAGTGGCAATGATAGTAATTAAAGACAAAAAGAAGGTTTTTTTATTAAACAAAAAAAAAAACCTTAGTCCACGATAAAATGAGAGAGGGTGAATAGTCTAAAAACGAGTGAAATAGCCATGCCTTTTAGTTTCGTTTAATAGTAATAGAAAATATGTGTAAATTTCATCCACATTATTAGCGGTACAAAAAGAATCCTTTAATGAACGTTGTCTAACTAGATGGCCAACACATGAAAAGAACAAGGAGAATAGTTGTTGAGTCACCACTTTGGTAAGTGAGTTCACCATCACATTTTTTTTTTTTTTAGCATCATAGACGTAGTCTATGCTCTATTAGACTATTGTATAGTTAACCAAGCTATTCAACTCCTACGGTAAAAGGACTTCTCCCATGACTAATAAAACTAATGTGTAAGAAAATCCATTATGACAACTTTAGAATCACCATCATGGCTAAGTGCATGCTATTGTTTGTGATACATTTGAGTTGGAATAAGAGGACTTTGACATGCAAGTTTACCAAGTTGCTCATAGCCATACCACTTCCTATGTGGAATAGGCGGATGATATTGATATCTCCATTGCATAATATTTTGTTAAAGATTCTAAATTTTTGTAATTTTATCACTCTCTTGGGCTTTAAAGAGGAAGCCAAACAAGTAATTACAACCGCCATTGTTTAAATATCCAAGAGACAATATAGCAATCATTTTCTTATCGATTATCTCGTTGGAAAATGGCAAGCTATCATGAGAATAATATACTCTTCATCTATGTTGATTACTATATAGAAAAGACTAGTCATAACCATCCCTTTTATTTAGAGAGCAAGGTAAATAGAGATATGACTACTCTATTCGTAGGACCTTGATTGATAATGATCCATCCTTCAATCTCGAGCCACTTAACATCTTAAAAAGGTTGGACATCAATAAAAAATCTATAAATTAGACACCTATCATTGTCAAGTCCTTTGACAATACTTCCTTTCAAACTCGAAGCCATGTTATGGTAGATTTTCAAAGAAGACATACATGACATCTAACCCGTTTTTATGTCATCGAGGCTCTTGTGTCCTATCATTTATTGATTAGAAGGCTTTTCCTCTATGAATATGATTCGATCATCTCCAAACATCAATCCGTGAAAGGGTATTGGAAAAGGATGGACATTTTTATTCCTAATGTTGGGGCACTTTTTGAGTGCAATGAGTCTTACTTCATTGAAACATCAATTTTTTTTTTTATTAGTATGCAGCTGATAGAGAGTTTAGGATTGGCAAACCCAAGTAAATTTCTATAAAGCCGGTGATCGTCAAGCTCAACCATAAGAAAAAGGGAACTCATAGGAGGGAAAGAGAAGAAAAGGTAATAACAATGATAACGGATACTTTAGATGATTAAATCTATAGATTGATGCTATTACTCGTGCTCATCATTTTTTTCTCAATATACCATGAACTACCACTTGTAATGGAGCTTGCTTTCAATTCATGTAATTCTTGAGTGTTTTTGTTATACAATGAACAAATCCTATGTCAATTTTTTTTTTTTTGTTGCAATGCATGTTTTTATCTTTTTATGAATTAAAAAAAAAATCCTAAGCACTTAACACCTCAAAAGAATGGGTACAACAACACACAAGTGCTATACTTCCAAAATTAGTTAAGAGACATGTGTTAGCCACAAAAAAAAAGGTTATGTTACGAACCCTTCACCAAGTCACTTGGTCGGTCGACCTATACATTGGCTAATCTATGAACTTTTTTTGGTCGGTTATTCTTTTTGATGGTTACTCTATATCTATTTGGCTAAGCCACATACTATCCATACTCGTGACTTTTTCATCCTCAATTATTTTTTTTATAGCCACATCATGTCCATTTAGTCAAACTATGCACTAGTCAAGCTGGGAACTCTTAATGCTTGGTTGTGTTTTTAATGACAACACCATATTTACATGGCTAAGTAGAATGCTAGTCGATCGTAAAATTTTTCACGGTTAATTATTTTTTCTTCTAGTAGCTATGTCATATCAATCGGCCAAGTTGCATGCTCGGTTAGATCGTGAGCTTTTTATTCTCAATTATTTTTCTTTATGGCTCCATTATATTCATCTGCCAAGAAGTGCACTAACAAGGTTGTGAGCTTTTTATGCTTGGTTATTTTTTTATGATGATGCCATGTTTATTTAGCCAAGTTATACACCGAATAGACTACGAGCTCCTCGTTCTCAATTATTCTTTATGATGGTGACACCATATTTATTAATCTAAGCTACGCATTGGCTAGGCCAAGAGCTCTTTATACTTGGTTATTCTTTCGATGGTAACGTCATGTTTATCTAGCAAAACTATACATTGGATAGGTCGAGAGCTCCTCATACTTGATTATTATTTTTATAGCAATGCCATATTTATCCGGCTAAGTTATACATTGTCCGAGTCACGAGCTTTCTATGCTCAATCATTCTTTCTAATGACCACGTCCGGTCTATCTAGTCGGATTGTGGGCTTTTTCATACTCTATTTTTCTTTTTAATCATAATATGATGTTCATTTATCCAAATACGTGTTAGCCAAACCATGATTATTTAAGCTTAGTTATTCTTTTTGATAGACATGTCATGTCTATCGAGCCAATTGGCATGTTGGTTAAGCCGTGAGCTCTTCATGCTTGGTCATT